TACAAAGTTACTTATATTAGGCTGCCCCAAAAGTTTTGTCCGTTTATTCAAACCACTATAAAACCATGCACAATAATGATCTGAATGAGTTTCAACAAACATTCGCTGCAGCTTTTCCTTCTCTTTCTTATGAATACATTTTCAAACCAGTCTTGTACACTTTTTTGATAATGCTAAAATTCTCCATCAGTCAATTTCATCTGTTCAAAGCTATGCTAAATTTTGAAGATTTTACTCCCAACTCTCGAAAGGATTAAGTCTGGATCAAATAGAACAATTCTCGGACTACAAGGTAATATTTTTAGGTCCTTTTTAATCTGCTGCTTTCAGCTTCAAAATATTACTCTTCTGAGGTTTCGATTTTCGGCAAAGTCATGAAACGCGCAACTGAAGCAAACGCACGAAAGCTTTCGAAGTTTCTGCGAATTGAAACATGATTCTTATTGAACATTATTTATGCTAACCAAGTTTGATTTGCTTTGAAAAATTAGCTTTTTGGAATTTGCGGTGTTCTCATGTGGAAAACGTAAACGAAAAGCCGCGGTTTCATTGAATAAATAATTATAGCGGACTTGGTAAACGTGGCCCAAGTAATCTAAAGTAGGTAAAATGTAGTCAAAAATTTGCTCTACATGACAGTTACCGGCGCTCTAAAAACATCAGGATAAAATTTTTTGAAATTCAGGCAAATTTGGCGTTACTGCTGAGCTGCTCAAAAAGCCATTGCGATAACATTGCAAAGACAAAGTTCAGAGAGCAATATAGCTGTAAGAAAGAGGATAAAGAGCTATAAACCTAAATCGCTCTTAAAGTGATGTTTTGTGAGTTTTAGTGAGCGATGAAAAAAACGGACAAAACTTTTGGGGCAACCTAATAGTTTTGACAAAATAAGAGGCCAAAGGAGCCAGAGACTGAAAAAGGAGAACGAAGCATCGTACTAGTCGAAAAGTCTATATCTCCCTTGAAGAGCCTCCAGACTGCGCCAGTTGTCTCCTTTGCAGCCGATAGCTCTTTTGCGCCGGTGGCTATTTTTGCAGTCGAAGGTGGGCGCACAATTTAACTTTGTCTGTACAGCATTTAGGAAGGTCCAAGCTGGCGCGAGTATGAGCAAGTCCCGGCAACGACTTACACAAGCTACCCAAGGCCCAAGGCATACCTCACGCGATTCGGCCGAATCGCCACTTTCACGCGACTTGGCGATCTGCCAGATTTCTACAGATCTATCGTGCGCGCTTCTCGAACGCATGGGCGGGTAGCTTGTGTAAGTTGTTGCAAATGGGTCAAGTCCTGACCAAAGGAAGCGCATTAACAACGAATTACATGGTCGCTATTATGCCAAATCGCGCACGACCGAAATCGCGCGAGGTATGCCTTAGGCCTAATGGGCTTCCGCGACCGGTGCTGGGCCATAAAGCCTATAGATGCCTTGTTTCAGACGTCGCCCCACAACCTGTGGAGGTGAGACTATGGGCGTTAACAACAGTTATGCTTTTCAACTTTGCTTTTCAAGTATGGTCTTTTTTCATTCAGCACTCTTTCTTGAAAACTCATTACTACCACAAACCAGTCAGTAATGAAGAAATCATTCAAAAATCAAGTTTCAAAATTACTGAACTGTAAGTGTACGTGCTGTCCTTGCCGTATATGCGATTTGCACGGAAGCGAGGAGTGTTCAAACATTGTGTTGCGTAATTTCATACTGATTAAAATTTCCTTCATTGTTGTTTCTATAAGTTGTTGGGACGTGGGACACTGTGTTGGGACGTGTTCGAGAAAACATGGATTGCTCATTTTACTTGAAGGCGGAAGAATATCTCCAATAGAAGCATTTTGTTCGCAACGTCTTATTTGCAGCAGGATGACGCGGGCGGAGATTGTATAAAGTTTGATAAACATGCTTCCGACCGGTGTTGCACATGGTGCAACACGCGGCTTTGTAGAATCTCCTTTGCATGTTGAACTGGGCCCGTTTAATATAACTTCATAGAGCTGTTGCTGCCATCCATTTGAGTGATGCAAATTAAACGACGGTTTCGACATGATGCGACGACGCGAGCGACACGTTGTAACGTCGTAACTTTTATTTGCTTCGGTTTCACAGAGAAAAGCGGATATGATACCAATGTGTACTGTGTGCGACATAGGTGGATTTGAATAACATACTGAGATTCGTCTCAAGATGACACGGCAATTTTCTCATGTGATAACATTCAGAGACGGAGATCTAGACATAGTTCTCATCCCACAGATAAGGTCATTTTGATGGCAAATGAGCAAGAATGCACGCTTTATCTCCGCGCGCGGATTCACGGTCCGAAACGTGACAAGGTGATTTGCTCTGTTAGTGCATGGTGCTAAGGGCTTATTCTGTCACCTGCACGTCAAGCTCGAGAAGATTCATTCGGATAACCAAGGGCGAATAATTAACTTATACCGACTTGGAAGTCAAAGTGATTACCGAACTTCGTCTCAATTCCTTGGCTGACAGTAATACATTAAGGTCATATTGTTATGACCGTGGGAATGAATTTCTTGCAAAAAAGCTTTGATTCTCGTTGGCCTCAATTTTTATCAATAGCTTGCAAGCTTGCTCATCTATACTACCAAAAATGGCGGATTGTCGTTACGTCAATGAGAAAAATGATTAGTGATCTTAGCATAATCCAAACCGTAATAGAACAAAGATCCGCGATGACGGTGGAGAACAAAGATTTTTATGGACCCATGCTGTAGTTTGAACAACATATGAAGGTAGTCAATCGGGTATGTATCAATCTCCCGAACCACACCCGGGCGCTCCTTAACCATTGGAAATGAACGCCCTGGCGGGAACGGGCGCCCGACCCATGATGTATGAAACTCACGGGCGCCCAGCCCCGACGGGCAGGAAAGCCCGATCTCGCGGGATCGGGCACTCGCGACGGGAGATGCAACTCATCGCGTTTTTTTTGCTGGAATTGGTGAGTTTTTCATTTTCTTTACTTTGTTAGGCCCTCCCTCCTTACTGAAGAGTTCCGGGGAGGGCTTATTTGTTGATTTTTTTTGTATTTGTGCTCCGTCTAAGGGAAGGAACGAAACGGAACTCGTTTTCTTTATCTTTTTTGTTCAATTTGAATTTCTATCTTAGTAGTTAGGTTTTGCAAGTAACTATAATGTGCATGATTATGGTTTGCGTGCAGTTTAACTACATTATTCAATGTGCCTGCTTTTTCCCCCACATAAGTTCCCAAGAAAGAATTTGGACGTCTGTCGCAATAAGTTTGGGAACATTGTGTTGCAATTTTTGAGTTTCTTTCCAGGATTTTTCCTTTACAAAGTTTTGAGAATGCTTTTGGTTTTAGGTGCCAAAATGCTGCTGTTTGGAGAAGGAACACCGCTTGAGCAGAATGCACAAGCAAGTTTCGGCTTTCGCTGCAAGCACTTTGTACATACGTGAGTTCTATTTCTCTCAGATATGTCTTTACTTCATTCTCATCTATTCGTTTGGAGGAAAACTTGCTTGAAATTCTAATAGATTGGTGCTAGTGGAAAAATCAAGGAGGAAAGTGATTTAGACGTTGCGGAATGCGCGTCGGCCGTGACTACTCACGGCACACCCAAAATAATATATGTTACGCCTAATCCTGTTATCTCGCATTTTGCGCACATTCGCCTGTTTTGCCCTTTTATGCGCTGTTGATGAGTTCTTTAACTTTTTCGATTTTGCTTTCGTTTCTTCAGCATGATGAGCAAGGCAGACAGAATCCTGTCTGGTTTTTGCTCTTTTTTACCATTTGGCCGCAGGCTGTGCCTGCTTTTTCACCAAAATGAGATTTTATGATTTTGTTTGATTATTGATTTTTTTGGTTGATACCTCCTTGCTTTTGTGTGATGTCACATTCTCATAGAAATGTGCCTCACACACATTGTAGAGGAGGATCATTCTTCTTCAACACATTGAAATTACACATGTTTACACTGAGTTAGCTAAAGTATACTTGTGCTTCAGTCTTGACCTTACACATATCTTTCGTAAGTAAAGGTCAAGATTTCGTAAGCTATCCCGTCTTTGCTCTGTTAGAACTTTGAATTCTACTCCTGCCTGTTATCCTGGTAATTTTCGTCCCTCGTCTCTCGGAACTCTTGAAGCAGTGTCAATTTTTGGTGGATTTAGTCGACGAAGTTGCTCAATAAAGTAGGACTTTCTTTGTTTCTTTCCTTCATTCATTATTCAGTTGTTATTTAGCATTTAGTAAGATGGAAGAACTGGGCTCGTCTACTTCTGGCGAAGTGGAAAGCATGGAAGAGCTTCTACTAGCTCGGAAGAGGAAGAAGTGGAGGCGACTGGCGCAGGAGGGATGAGGGAATCCGAAGAAAGACAAGGGGCACTTGTGCAAGAAGAGGGAGAAGGAGCTGTGGTGGCGGAAGGGCGCAGAAAAACCAGGGTATTTGCTGAAAGAGCGTTCCCCTTCGAGGTCTCAGATGACGTCGCCTTCAAGAAGGACTACCGTTTCAGCAAACGGGTCTTTTATGAAATCTGCGACTTAGTGAAGGACAAGCTTCAGCGCTCAACCGAGCGATCAAAGCCGTTGTCGATTCCTCAGCAAGTTGCCATCTGCCTCAACCTGCTGGGACGGAACACGAAGCAGAGAGATTCGGCAAGAATGGCGGGGTGTGATCAAGCAACGGTCAGCCGAGTCCTTGCGAACTTCGTCGAGACCCTATGTTCCTGCGCTCAAAATTACATGTTTTGGCCCGGAGAGGAGGAGAGAAGAAGAATAAGTGGGGACATTTTTGATGCCTACTAACTCCCAAATATCGTGGGCTTTATCGACGGCTCCCACGTGCGCATAGCCACACCACACGAGAACGAAGGCGACTACGTAAACCGAAAGCAGTTTCATTCTATAAATGTCGGTCTCATCTGCGACGATAAGCTGAAGTTTCGCTGGGTTAGCGCATCGTTTCCTGGGTCCGCTCACGACAGCCGTGTATTCAAGGAATCACAACTGTATCGGGATATGAAAAACGGTAGGAAACCCGGATGTTTGGTGGGCGACTCCGCATATATGGCCGAAAATTTCTTGATAAAAGTGGTGGAGAACCCAACCACACAGGCAGGTAGGATGTTTACTTTCCCTATTTGAAAACCGAGAACTTTTTTCAGAAAATCGCTATAATCGCGCAGTCTGCGCTGCTCGTTCCCACATCGAGCGTGCCATAGGAGTGCTCAAGGCGCAGTTCAAGATTCTGGGCGAGGAGTGCCGGTAGATTTTTCAATGGTTCGAATCACAACAAAAGAAAACTCTTTCTTGCAGATACAAACCGGAACTTGCAACTTAGATAATCGTTGCATGCGTCGTTTTGCGAAATATTGCCATCGGCGGGAATGAGTCCATAGACGAATTCGAGGTGGAGGCCGAAGAGACGACTGGAGACGATCCTGATAGTTCCACTGAACCGACGTCTTTGACGGGAAGAGCGCATATTCGAAGAATAATAAGTGATTACTTCATGTGAAATTGTCATTCATCATTGTCTTTATCTTTATCATTTACTACCTCCGTCTTTACTTAAGCTGTTTCGCCTTGTAGTCAAATAATAACCTTGACATGACAGCTTCATTTTTATTCAGTGTTATTACCCACAATAAATTGCAGAGGTATGCGAAATACTCGTACATAGAAAAACTTCAATGACTTCACTATTTTCAATAAACTCGTGCAAGTACGGATTCAATTCTCATAAAATTCCAATACAACTTGAATACTTCCAATACAGCTGCTTACTTAAGTGCTTATGATGACACCTTGATCCAGATAGTCGCCTCGCTTCTGCTCGTTGCTTATTTCCAGCTTCAGCTTCTCATTCTTAAGACGCAAATTCTCATTTTGGAGCTTTGCGTTCTCAATTTGTAGATACAAGAGGTCGCCGGTCAGCTGCTCGTTCCTGATTCTCAACTGAATGCGTTCCTATTCAAATTCGCTGGCTCTTCCTGATTTCTTTTTTTCACTAAAACAGCTGACTGATTGAAAGTTTATCCAGCAAACCTTGCCTACCGTGGTCTATTCTCTTTCTCAGCGTCGTTATGCAGTTCTACCGGCATTGCGCTAAACGAAAATAAGTTCATTAGGATATAGCGCACTTTGACCAAACTTGAGAACTTACTAATGCTCATAATCGTCAAAATTTGGATGCTCGAAGATTGGCTCAGTTTTTACTTTCTTTCCTCCGTTTCTCTCGGTTTTCTCGAGCGTGTTTCTGGAACACAAAGTAAGCAAATTGAAAGTCCTTCGAAACACTCACTTGTTGGCGGGGTACACTTCGTTTTCCGTGTCAGTCAAACTTAATTGCGACTCGTTGTTCCATTGAGGAGGTGACTTTGATGATGAAAGCTGAGAAACAAGTTTAAGTATAGCATGAAGTAAGTATAAAATAGGTGATCTGTTAACTTTGTTCAATAGAGGGGCAGGCTGGTTAATTTCGTCATCCGTCTGAGCAGGTCGTTTCGACGAGGAAGGTTGCTGAAGAGGCATCAGTAAGTATATGAATGAATATGCCAATTGTCTTACAGTTGAAGCATGGTCGCCAGAAACTTCGATCGCGCATGGAAGCCCTTTCAAACGTGGTTTTTCCCCTATTTTATCCAATAGAATTGCGACATGTGGAGCAACTTTCAGCTTGATGGGGACTCCGCCTCCCGTTTTATTGTGTTCGAGCTTCTAAAAGATTTTGGTACGAAGTGGGAACATTGCTGAGTGTATTACTTACCTCCTGTGCAATCACCTTTTTGGCTCTTTTCATTGTATCGCGCATTCGTTAATTCAGTTGCGTGACGGTGCGTTTTGGATAACCAGCGCTAGTCAGTATTCGAGCTAATTCTTCTAGCTTGTCTCTTTTCGCCTTAACAAAAAACTTGGAGGGACGAAGGGAACTCAGACTGAAGTGTCTTACCTTCACTGCAGGCTGGCGACTTGAGCCTGCGAACGCCGCATGAAACACATTATAGTTCTCGACGTAAAACTGACTTATGATAGACAACTCCTCTTCGGTCATGGTTGGAGCCCGACTCTAGCATCGTTGATATTACAAGGAGCTGGGAAAGACGGCAAAAAACCTACTTTGACCTCAACGACTTCCATCTTCTTCGATTGGTTACGGCACAAAAACAAACACCCGCCTTCAAAAACCAAATTCGCTGACAAGAACCTAAGCAAAAACAAGTATGAATAACGGAAACAAGAGAAAAAGCACGATAGTTAACTGCGAGTAACATACGATACCAATACCAAAATGAAAACGAGTAAACGGAGTAACTCTTAGAATGCGCCAGGAAGCATAGTACATACGCGTCAGCACGCGTGCTGCTGATCCCCAACTAGGCAGTTCGGGCTCTTGCCCGAGTGACATACACGTATGATGCATCGCAGGTGCGGGCGCCCGTGCCCACTCGGGTAACGACCCAGACGGGAACCCCTTCCCGAGAGGGAGATTGATACATACCGGCCCAGGGTGTCCGAGAAAGCAGATTTTTTATAGGCTATTTCAAGGCTTGTACTGACGAGTACTTGGTGAAAGTCAGAACACCAACAGGTGTCTTGTGACGAATCGTAACTGCAGCATTGTGGTACCATTTGGGCTATTTAGAAATTAGAGTGGAGGACTATATGTCGCCGAAAAGGGGCGGTCCCCGCCGTCATTTGTGACAAATACGCACCCTTTCATATGCACAGAGAGGAGTTTCTGCACGCAATCCGCGCGGGACCCTCCCACATACGGCGACGTATAATCCTCCACCCCAGAAATTACATCTCTGAAATTTTTGAAGACAATGGTCTACCGTGTTCGTATTCCTGCCTCTGATTAGAGCGATATGATAATAGGTTTAGCCCGATATGGAGCAGCTCGAATGCTCCAGTCAGAATTAATTTTATGATTGGCGTATTGAATGATAAGCGTCAATTAGCTTTGTTAAGCAGGAAGTGATATTTGCTACTGGGAAGTAAATGCTTTACAGATACAATGTTCAGTTTTATGCTGTCTGCCATCCATACTTGTAAATCTTTATGTCTTCGACAGTTTTGATGTTCGCGCTTTTGTCACCAGAGTAGAGTAAACACCACTGCAAATGATCCCGCAATTACATTTCCATTTGCATCAGTAGAAGCAAAGTTTTTTTTGAATGGATAGTTTTACTTTCAAAATCTAGAGGTTAGTTTTCTCAACTTCATCAGCCAGCAATGCAAGTGTAAGTCAGTAAGTACAATTTTGGGCTTTGAATATCCAGAATTGTTATAGATCCGTCCTTCATTATGATCCTCAAATTCGCAAACATTCTGCCTACCCTCTCCAATTTCGGACTTGCATCTACAGATCCCGATGTCAATGGTATTTACAGATTATTCATGTCAATGGGCGGACGCTTCTACCTTCTTTAGCGGTTTTCTCGCTTTGAGATTGGTCTTTTGCAGCAAAACTCGGGCAATAGCTCAGTTAGGGGCCCGCTATTATATGACATAAAGTCTTATAGCCCTCAATTTGGGTGGACGTTCCTTCAAAGGCAGTGTCGAGCAATGGTGAACTTTTAGCTCTTTTTTTCTTGTATGGACCTATCCGCTTTGCTAAAACACTTTGAGTAAGGGCAGGCTTTCTCAGTGCCCTTTATTTCAAAATCAGTGCGTCACCTAGCGGCTTTCAAACTCACTGCGCGATGCCCAATCATTACGAATGAACTGTAAACAGGCACTCATTCCAAAAGCTTCCTCATGTAAGATCGTAACTCTGACAAGGAAATGGTCAAAAATGAAATGACCATTCCAAACAAGCTGCATACCATTCGATGCAGCATTTAACGCTGATTTCGAATCTGTATTCCATATCTGGTTAACGCCTTTGTGGACAAGGTTATGGGCAGTATTATGGCGAAAAAATAGTAAAGATTGTGATCGAGCACGATGTTGCACTTTCAACTCACCTTCAGAGTTTAAGAATGCAAACTAACCTATTTGCATGTTTCGGTCCAGCATTAAGCCGAAAATGGCTCTATACCGCCAAATTTACGCTTCACATGACCATTTCTTAGCAAAGTACCGGCCTTTAACGGCTCATAACTCCGCCCACATGGGAGCTAAGCAGATACTGAATATAGATTTGAAGTCATCGTTTCATGCCGCATCTGATGGTGTGCAGCAGGTCTGGAAGGGCCACTTCGATTTTCCACCATTCCCCGGAAGGAAGTTTCTTTAAAAGATTGTACGCTAGTTCAAATCAGTTACTGGAGTTATTATTTGCTAGTCACCTTAAAGGCAGCGTCCACCCAGAATGTGGCCCCCCATGTTTTTGCCATTTTGGGGCCTTTCCGTGACCCTGATTACAGTTCCGAACTTCAAACCCTCCAAAATGCACAAAAAGCCCGATTCCTGGGGACCCTGTCTTGAGGGCGCGGACGAGTTTCAGATCGCTCTTCCCTGTCGGCAGGCCAGCGGGAGGGAGCTGCAACTCCATGGGTGCAGTTGCAACAGTGTGCAGCTTCTGCTCACTATCATGTGAATACGTGTCAGGAGTGTCAATACTTGTCAGGAGGCAGTCTTGACTGGGCGGAGTCTGATATCAGACTCCGCCCAACCAGGAACTTCCAGGCCCCTTATCTCCATTCAGAGACAATATTAGAAGACCGGACCAACGCAGATGCCCCTTTTCTGGGGCCTACATTCAGGATCGACACTAATCGGAGGGGGTTAGGTTTAGCCTGGACACTGCCTTTAAGGAACCCGTGAGTTACATCATGAGCAAGAATTTTCTCAAATGCTTGGCTAAAAATGACAAATTGACCATTTATATACAGTTATCCATTTCTGGAGCCGATCCTGCGTGAAAATAGACTTTTTGCTCTTTTTCTGAGCTAAAGTTATTGGTTTGCAGATTTACTTGTTAAACAAATAGATAAAGCCCAATTCTCAATCCGCTTAGGCGGGCAAAAGTCTATGTTACGTTTGATGCATAGTTCTTAATGGTTCACCTACTGAATCGGTTTGTGCTTGTGCGCACCCTATATGCTGATAGTGTGCTGCGAAAATTTTAGTCCAAGACTTTGGCTGCAATTTGCTGTATGGATTTTGTGACAAACAAACATACACAGACGAACAAACAGACAGATGCTTAGCGTTTTATTATAAATCCTGATTAGATGTATAGAACAAAGCGATTAAGATATAGACGCTGTAGAGTTTTTCCCCCAACTGTAGCGGCAGCACTTTCAGCTGAGATAAGCCGCAAGCTGACCTATTTGGGACAAGTCCTAAAAATTCTAGAAGGTAATTTCATCCCTTATTTAAGGTTACTGCTTCAACCTTGCACATGGCGTGACCAAGAGTGTCCATTTTTACATCGCATTTGATCACGACCCCTATCTTCAGCCAAATACTACGTTTAGTGCTACGATTGCTATCTTATCACAATTCGCTATTCATTCTCAACCCTGAAATACATGAAAACATCTGATTTTTACAAAACCTCAATCAGTTAACGTTAGTACTATTTAGACACAAAAAAAACATCTCCACTGTCAAGTTTTACTTACCGTACAAAAAGCTGCGGAAATAGCGTTGTTCTGGCAACGGCGGACTCCCTTTTTGATTTTTCGCGCCAGAACCACGCCATAGAACTTTTTCGCGTGCATGGTCGATGAAGTAAATCAGAAAGGCAAGAGGGCAAAGGCAGGAAGTGCAGGAAGTGTTTAAGTCTGCATATTTTTTTGTGTTTTTATCACCATTATGGAAGGAATGCGATTACCGGTAGTTTGTAGACTGACAATTTAGACCCTCTACTCAAGCCTTGACGGCCTCTAGCATTTCTGTATTGCAGATTCTAGTATGTAGCTTGAGGTAGTAAACTTGACTCTGGTACAGTTCTTCTGGAATGATATCCACGAAAGCCCATAATGGGGAAGAGGAACATTCTTACACCTTTTTATTCGTTCGAGGTGGAAACCTGTCGAATCTGCTTTCGCTCGCATTATTCAGAATTTTCTATCCTATTGCAACCACGAGGCAAAGCGATGTAATAAAAATATTTCAACTGTAACCCTACTTGAGCTTTCGTTTGCGAAATTTTCATGCGAAAAGTCCAGCAGAATGGGGCAAAACGGGATTTACCTCCATTTTAAATGGACTTGAAAACCCATTTCACTTCTAGCAGCTGATTGAGCTGGAACTGAGCCAATTTTTAATCTTCTGCTCATCTTTGATTGCAGTTTTTTGAGAATGTGTTCCTTAGCCGATGTAACAATTGAATGGAAAAGGTTCTTTTTCATGAAGTATGAAAAAAGTTATCCTTCAAGGCCTATGCAAATGCTATAAAAATCATGGAAAAAGGTTGACTTTACGCAGATATTCGTTAACAAACTCAAATGCTTCCAAATATGAGATCGAAGCGAAAATTCCTACGGAAATTGAACACTTTTCAATCATCAGCCGAATTAAATTCACGGTTTGTATTAGGTTGTAACATAAGTCTTGTTACACCTTAATTTCTTGGCGTTATGTCGTATAACAATTTTAATAGAGCTGCAGAGTACCATTCGATAGAGCAAAGCAGGTCCTACAAGATGGCATGCAAAAGTTCGCGTCGACTTTGACCCCCGTAAGTCTGCAATAAGAATCTGAGTTGTACTGAAGGCTCAAAAAATTGAGAAAAAAAATCACATGTTTGTTTGAAAAAATTCTACAGATCTCCAACTCATAAAAATTGCGCACCCATCAGACACTCATATGTACCGTTGCTGTATTTTTTCCTCACCTATCTATAGGCGAAGCTACGCTGTTTCCACTCATGTAATTGTACACTATAAACCCATAGAACTGTAACCGTAAGTTTCAGCTTTCACAGGCTCTAGTTTTCCACAGCCCTATATGTCTTTGCGAATTTCCAAGTGAATGTGGGGGAAATATTTGTCCCGTCTTATAAAGTTAGTTTCGATCATTACCATGAGATGAAAATGTTGGTTTGGAAATTGTTCAACTGTTTGGATATGTAAACATCAGTGCGAAAGGGAAAGAAGAGCCAAAGTAGAGCACTTGCAAAGTTCTCTTTCTGCAGATTCGTAGTTTTTCCGACTCAAAAAACCCTTTAGGTTGTAATGTAGTATAAGGTTTCATGTGAAGCATTTTGAATCACACTGCTTGCAAGTCTAGCCAAAGTTTGCTTTCTGCAGAAAGCTCTGTATAATTTGATTGTGCAGATTCATAGAAGTCTTTAGAAGCGAATGCCCGGATTTTACATAAATTTCAGTTAAATTGGAAGTATTTAGATGCGTAGTCATGTATAATTGCTGACACCCAAAAACAGGCTCTTCATTTACTTTAGAAGAAGCAAGATTCTATATACTATTCTGGACATAGCGCTTTTTCCTTTGCTATGCTGCAAATAATGGCTATATCGTCATTATAGGGCTTCGGCTTGTTTTGTTTGGTCTTGTCTTCCATTTATATAACTCTTCTTCTTTCAGTGACTGAGGATTGGTCGATCCTTTCTCTTATTTCTGTGTTGCCTGATTTCTGTTCGTTTTTGAGTTTTTTTCAATGGTGCACCACGAATGTATGCATAAAATCACCTGTCACCTGTATCACCTGTATCCCCGTTGATCATCGTGTTGCACGAGCGGGTACCAGTGATGCCTCCATTCGTCCCTGTCTCGGGCGATTCTGACCAATGTTTACGTATCGCACCAGGAACACGTGGAACGCTCTGAAGGACTTCATTAAAGGACTTCGTGAACATAACTGACCAACGCGTCGGCGGTCTTCCTCGTTCGCGTTTGACGTCCAGTGGTATCCAATCTATTACAGCTCTCGTCCACCGGTTGTCGTCGAAACGCATTACGTGTCCGGCCCATCTTATCTTGTTCTGCTTGGCGTACGCGGCAGCGTCCCTGATCTTCGATCGTTGACGTAGGGTAGAACTTCGTAATCCTTGCCTCACTTGCGTGAGTCGATTCACTCCTAGCATCACTCTCTCAACAGCTCGTTCGATGACGCTAACCGCGTGTTCATCCTACTTTCTCATTGTCCATGTTTCTGAAGCGTACGTCAAAGCAGGAAGAACCGTCGACTTGAAAAGGTGGGCGCGGAGCCGGATGTTCTTGGTCTTCTTCACTACGTCCTCAATTGTCTTATATGCTCCCCATGCTGCACGTTTCCTCCTGCTCAGTTCCGGAGCTAGATCGTTCATCATATTGAGTTCACGACCCAGGTAGGTGTAGCTTGAGCATTCGGTGATGTTCGTCCCGTTGAGCATGAAAGGAGCATCAGGCACTCTTCCGTTCCTCATGAACATCGTCTTCGTTAGATTCAGCCGTAGACCGATCTTTCTACACACTTCGTCAAACTGGGCCAGCATTTGTTCCGCCTGCGTGATGCTTGGTGTTATCAATACGATGTCATCAGCAAAGCGAAGGTGGTGTAGCTGCCGGCCGTCGACTTTCACTCCCATGTTGTCCCATTCCAACTTACGCATGACGTTCTCCAGAGCGGCATGCATAAAATAAAAAAATAAAATAAATAATAAATGGTGAGGTGTGAGGTGTAACAAAATGGGGAAGAATAAAATTTTCACGTGACTGACATTGTAATGTTAGATCAGCCTAGGTAAATATCGAACATTTGGTGAAAATGAGTCTGAAAGAGTGAGTAAACAGGTTGAGGTAAGTTGGAGAAAGTTTTGCTGCAGCATTTTTGTACGGTGAGTTAATTCGCGAATGCGATATCTTATCGCACCGCATGGCCTAAGTCCATTATATTTGTACGAAAAGCCATTTTGCGGAGACTTTCCTGGATATCATTCCTGATGTGTTTCGGCAAAAATTCCCAAGTCTTTCTCACAACTTGTATTAGACAAAGTCGTGCTGATCTTTGAGACTGCACTTATAAACCTGCATTTAGCATTATTTTACGCCAAGTTGTTTGAGCTGTTTACAACTCCTAAAGTTTTCATCTGAGTAAAAATGCTGCGAATTTTCTGTGCTAATTTTTGTAATTTTTGCACATAAGTATTCTTCTCCATGATTTCTGAAAAGCTCGATTTGATTATTTTGCAACGCAAAAAGCTCCTTACATGCCATTGTTGAAAAAAGATGTGGTAGTGGTGATTTCGGCATAATATTTGAGAAGCTTTCTTTATATTATCTTAGGCAAAATCCGGATTACTTAGTTGTATGCTCACTATTCATCGAAATCATACGAGCGAACATTCTCATCGAACGTGCTTACTTTACAGCAAAGTTCTTCACTCCCAATAGCACCATCATTTTTTTTAGGATACGGCTTTACGCAATCTTCCAATTAAGCCAGAAAGCCAAAGAAGTTCTCTTTATCTCAACCGTGACACAAAGCCATGCTCATCAAACCATTGTTGCTATTTTTCCTGTCATCAGTTTCTACCATCAGTCCTGCACCAACATCAGTAAGTTTTTATTTGGGTTTTCGTCCTTAGTGATCGATTTCCCAAATAAAAAAAACGCTTTTTTGCCAACTTGTTTCGGGACAATTTATTTGTTTATTCATTTATTATGAAATACATGGTGTAAGCGATGTACCATCTCACGATTGAAATACAAACCCAACATGAAGTATGCAACAGTGTGGAAGAAGAAGGCAAGAATATGTATTTTCGGTATTCAGAAAACAAATATGAAATTCTCATTTCGGAATTTTGGGAAGGCGTCAAGCTTACTGGAAAAGCTGTGAATAATGTTTGCTGAAGGCATACAGACAGGGAGATATGCCGGGTGTACTGGATGGTAATTTATGCTAGGCTCCCGCGAGAGTGCCGAAGCCATGCTAGCGCTACGCCAGCGCCAAGCCAGCGTCTCAATCGATACACGTGTATTTCATTGCGGCGGGGCCAGCTGACCTAGTTCTCAGCCAGGGCACCGCCCCAACGAAATGCACGTGTATCGATCGAAACGCTGGCTCGGCGCTGGCGTAGCGCTGGCATGGTTTCGGCACTCTGGCGGGAGCCTTAGGCAGGGTTCATACTGAGCCGCACAAAGCGGCACAGTTCCAGCATAGCGCTCGAACTGTGCTCGAACTGTGTCCGAACTATGCTGCATGCGCAGTTGGAGTATTTTGACCGTTTCTAACGGTTTTTCTTCTAGGTTTCGCTCATTTCGGGCCTTATTCCTCCACCCCGCTTTTCCTTTTGATGAGTAGAACTCCGAGTGCAAAGCGGGGTTGAGGAATAAGCGCTGTTCTGCTTTGTGTGTCCGATTATGCGTGTTGTTCCGCTCGTTCATGTCTCTTCGTTTTATCCTTGCATAAAAGTATTCCATTTGTTTCCAGGAGGCTGCAATATTTTTGCAGGCATTTTTCTTGAAGAAGAGCAAAAATAGTGCAGAAGAGTAGGAAATTCCATCGTTGGCCACTATTAAGCTCCTAGCCCCTTTTCGTTTTCATTTAAGGGGTAGAAGGAAGAGCGAAAAAGCAATGAAATGGAAAAAGAACGCGGCTGAGAGGATACATGGAGCACAACCGCGTTCGTTGGTTTACCCCGCTTCAAGTTCGAAGCGCTACACAACAAAAAGGGAAGCGGGGTAAAACAAAAAACGAAAAAACAATGAAATGAAAACGAAAAGGGGCTAGGAGCTTAATAGTGGCCAACAGGTTGATGGAATTTCCTGCTCTCCTGCACTATTTTTGCTCTTCTTCAAGAAAAATGCCTGCGCAAATATTGCAGCGGCCTCCTGGAAACAAATGGAATACTTTTATGCAAGGATGAAGCGAAGAGACATGAACGACCGGAACAACACGCATAATCGGACACACAAAGCAAAACAGCGCTTAATCCTCAACCCCGCTTTGCGCTCGGAGTTCTACTCATCAAAAGGAAAAGCGGGGTGGAGGAATAAGGCCCGAAATGAGCGAAACCTAGAAGAAAAACCGTTAGAAACGGTCAAAATACTCCTACTGCGCATGCAGCACAGTTCGGGCACAGTTCGAGCACAGTTCGAGCGCTGTGCTGGAACTGTGCCGCTTTGTGCGGCTCAGTATGAACCCTGCCTTAGTAATGATAGGATGAAAATTTTAGATAGCGGTGGTCAAGAATTAGGATCCCAACAAGTTGAATGGATCTTTTTTATATCAGGAGGTTCGAACACATGGGACCACAATGAGTATAGTAGGGGCCTGCAAGATCGCGAGAGTCGGACGTGCTTACGGCCATTGCGCCGCGCATGTCAGATGTGAGTCCGACGACACAGGTAGGTGCCAGACTTATCCTGTTGAACAGATTCATTCGGTTCACCACTTTTGCTGTTGGACACTGTAGTGATTTGACCTATGAACCGAGCGAACCGGCTGAAGCGGATAAATTTGGCACCTGCCTTAGTGACATTGGACGTGCGCGGCGCAATGGCCGTACGCACGTCCGACTCTCGCGATCCTACAGAATCCTATTATTGCACTAACAAGATGTTACGAAGTATTAGGTTAGCGGATAATCTCTGTTATACTTTTTCTGTTTAATCGGAAAAAGAGTAAAAGGTTCTTGGAATCGCCGACTTTGCGTCATTCTAGGGCATTGCAGAGTAAATCCACAAGTACAAATAAAGGCGCAAATGCACAAGCGAACAATAAGTCTACTAAAGTTTTGCTAACATTCTCAAGTTTTCACTTTTTTTCTGAACTCTCTGCTTCTACTTGTATTTTGCCTCTTCTAAATTCTTTTAGAATAATTTAGGCACTGTCTCACCCTATGAAGGCATTCATGCCCCTAGCGTTTCAAAAACGGGGGATGAAAAAGATATCAGAAATCGAAAAGCGCAACAAAATCTTCTTCATATGCATTGTGCAGAAATCAATACAGAAAGCTCACAAGTCAAATTAATTCCTTTAATTTTTCGAAGAATTATCTTGATTTAAAGTTCAATAATAGCCAAGGTAAAGCATATTAACATATCAAAAGCTTAGTTAAAGGTGTGTAGACTTGAGCGTGTCATCCCCCGTATTTGCTGAACACTATAGACTAACCTGCCAGATCAAACTTCTTTCTAATTCCAGCTCATTACCCGTATAAATGCCAATTTGTTGATAAAATGAGCCATAAAACATTTTCATCCATGAAAAGTGTATGTTTTGCGCGGATATAACAGTACCGATGGGTAGGCGTTAGAACCCTGTCCACATGCCATAAACAGATCTTTTGACAACCTTTGAAATCTTTGAGAATCGAAATTGAAAGTGTAATAGAAATTATCCACCAACCCAATACTACTTGTAACAAGTCGCTTTCGAGTTGTACGTGATGCAGCAGTCTATCCTTACTCCGTAATTGAGCAGTGAAATGCTGACTAATGTGCTCACAGCTTTCAATAATGCGATTCGAGTTCCACAGTTAGAAATACTAATATTTTTTATAACAGGGACCTTCATTTTAGTCATAGGTAAATAATGATTTCGCTGTTATAAGTATAGTAAGAAATTCTCCTAATTGTATACTTGCGAGATAGTCGAGAACGATGGATGTTTGGAAAATGATACGATATGAAACTAGCAGCAGCTGAAAAAAAGAATCGTTTGTACCCTTTAGTTCAACAAGGTTGGCGGCTGAAACGCGACCGCTCGAATCCGCGACGCAGTCTGCGTCTCTGTAGCGAGCATGCTATCAGGTCATTCTCTAGCCCCGATTCAGTTTGGACGCCACACCTTCCAACCGTCAATCCCGATGAATCAAAAGGTATTTCATCTCCAAAACGTGTCTTAAGAATACAACAGGAAAGGGAGTCGTTGTAAGGGGAGTCATAAGAACTCTAAATGTTACATACAATCCGAGCTAAAGTTTTAGACAATTATGTTCGTTTAAGAATTACTTCAATTTACACTAAATAAGGTTATGAGCTCTATGGGAAGTTTTGCCGAAGTATGCCGCACACACAACCAATAGAACTCTGAAGGCTACGTTTCGCCACCCTTAAAGATTACTAGCTGGCATACCCGGCTCCGCCCGGCATCACATACACTGCGGTCAAAAAAAACCGAAGTTATATTCCTCAAGAAGAGAAAACAACATTGGCTCTTTAATTTGGTTGTCCTCGACAGAGGCAACCGATAGTTGTCCTCCAAGTGAGGCAACCGATGGTTGTCCTCATCAGAGGCAACCGATGGTTGTCCTCCAAGTGAGGCAACCGATGGTTGTACCGATGGTTGTCCTCAACAGAGGCAACAGATGGTTGGTACGATGGTTGTCCTCAACAGAGGCAACCGATGATTGTCCTCGACAGAGGCAACCGATGGTTGTCCTCGTCAGAGGCAACCGATGGTTGTCCTCAACAGAGGCAACGATGGTTGTACCGATGGTTGTCCTCCAAGTGAGGCAACCGATGGTTGTCCTCGACAGAGGCAGCCGATGGTTGTCCTCCAAGTGAGGCAACCGATGGTTGTCGTCGATAGAGACAACCCATGGCTGCTTTCAACAGAGGCAACCGATGGCCGTTCTCAACAGAGGCAACCGATGATTGTCCTCGACAGAGGCAACCGATGGTTGTCCTCAACAGAGGCAACCGATGGTTGTCCTCCAAGTGAGGCAACCGATGGCTGTCCTCGATAGACATCCGATGGTTGTCCTCCAAGTGAGGCAACCGATGGCTGTCTTCGATAGAGACAATCGATGGTTGTCCTCCAAGTGAGGCGACCGATGGTTGTACCGATGGTTGTCCTCAACAGAGGCAACGATGGTTGTACCGATGGTTGTCCTCAACAGAGGCAACAGATGGTTGGTACGATGGTTGTCCTCAACAGAGGCAACCGATGATTGTCCTCGACAGAGGCAACCGATGGTTGTCCTCGTCAGAGGCAACGATGGTTGTACCGATGGTTGTCCTCAACAGAGGCAACAGATGGTTGGTACGATGGTTGTCCTCAACAGAGGCAACCGATGATTGTCCTCAACAGAGGCAACGATGGTTGTACCGATGGTTGTCCTCCAAGTGAGGCAACCGATGGTTGTCCTCGACAGAGGCAACCGATGGTTGTCCTCCAAGTGAGGCAACCGATGGCTGTCTTCGATAGAGACAACCGATGGTTGTCGTCGATAGAGACAACCCATGGCTGCTTTCAACAGAGGCAACGATGGTTGCACCGATGGTTGTCCTCCAAGTGAGGCAACCGATGGTTGTCCTCGACAGAGGCAACCGATGGTTGTCCTCCAAGTGAGGCAACCGATGGTTGTCCTCCAAGTGAGGCAACCGATGGTTGTCCTCGACAGAGGCAACCGATGGCCGTTCTCAACAGAGGCAACCGATGATTGTCCTCGACAGAGGCAACCGATGGTTGTCCTCAACAGAGGCAGCCGATGGTTGGTACGATGGTTGTCCTCAACAGAGGCAACCGATGGTTGTCCTTCAAGTGAGGCAACCGATGGCTGTCCTCGATAGACATCCGATGGTTGTCCTCCAAGTGAGGCAACCG